TCCCCCGGCCCGCCGCCCCCTCGTCCCCGCGCTCCCCCGCGAGCCCGGCCCGGCCCGGCGCGCCTGACGTGGACCATTAAACTTGGAGCTGCCGCCTCGTCCCCTCTCTCCTCCTCCTCCCTCTGACAGGCGAGCGAGCGGCTTGGTCGGTGCAGGCAGGAGACGTGCGGAGGGCCAGGCTAGGTAGCCCGGGGGAGATGACTTGTCACCAGGAGGACGCCTCCGGGAAGAAGACCACCACGGGGGCAGCAAAGTTTTGGGGCAGCTGAGCAGCCATCGCCGCCAGCCCTTCCGAGCCCGATCAAACCTCCCCTGGCTATGGAGGGTGGACTCTAAAATGAATCCCGACCTGGACACCGGCCACAACACATCAGCACCTGCCCACTGGGGAGAGTTGAAAAATGCCAACTTCACTGGCCCCAACCAGACCTCGAGCAACTCCACACTGCCCCAGCTGGACATCACCAGGGCCGTCTCTGTGGGCCTGGTGCTGGGCGCCTTCATCCTCTTCGCCATCATGGGTAACATCCTAGTCATCCTGTCTGTGGCTTGCAACCGGCACCTGCGGACGCCCACCAACTACTTCATTGTCAACTTAGCCATCGCCGACCTGCTGCTGAGTTTCACTGTGCTGCCCTTCTCCGCCGCCCTGGAGGTGCTGGGCTACTGGGTCCTGGGGAGAATCTTCTGTGACATCTGGGCGGCTGTGGACGTCCTGTGCTGCACTGCCTCCATCCTCAGCCTGTGTGCCATCTCCATCGATCGCTACATTGGGGTGCGCTATTCTCTGCAGTACCCCACGCTGGTCACCCGCAGGAGGGCCATCTTGGCGCTCCTGGGTGTCTGGGTCTTGTCCACTGTCATCTCCATCGGGCCTCTCCTGGGCTGGAAGGAGCCAGCGCCCAATGATGACAAGGAATGTGGGGTGACTGAAGAACCCTTCTACGCCCTCTTCTCCTCCCTGGGCTCTTTCTACATCCCTCTGGCAGTCATTCTGGTCATGTACTGCCGTGTCTACGTCGTGGCCAAGAGGACCACCAAGAACCTGGAGGCAGGAGTCATGAAGGAGATGTCCAACTCCAAGGAGCTGACGCTGAGGATTCACTCGAAGAACTTTCACGAGGACACCCTGAACAGTACCAAGGCCAAGGGCCACAACCCCAGGAGTTCCATAGCTATCAAACTTTTTAAGTTCTCCAGGGAAAAGAAAGCCGCTAAGACACTAGGCATTGTGATGGGTATGTTCCTTTTGTGCTGGCTTCCCTTCTTCATCGCTCTCCCTCTGGGTAAGTTGGGGACTGGCAGAGGGGAAATTGACCTTTCTGAATCTTGGTTTCCTGATGAGCTGACCCTGAAGTTTTGTTTTGTTTTGTTTTGTTTTTCTATTTGGGTTGTGTTTTTATACTGTCTCTGTGTATTTGGAAATTGGATAATCTGGTTTGTTCTGCAAGGGCTTTGCAGACTGGCAAGCTGGCGAAGAACCAACTTAGGTGTTTGGTGGAGCACGCTGAGGTACTAGGCACTTGAAATAGAACCACGGGAGGAAAAATGTAGGATGTGGAATGACTCACTCGCCAGCCTCAGTTTAATTATTAAAAGGACACTGGGCTTGAACATCACACCAGCCTTATTTCGGTAGTAATGATCTGTAGGCTTAGGCAGCCACTAATGCAGCATACCAAACAGTTTGTAGTTACTGCAGACACGGCTTTGGGGATGCAGGGAGCAGCTCGTACACAGAAAGGCGGAGTTCATTCAGCATTTCCAGGGCTCTTGCAGAGGCTGCAGTCTGTCCCCCCTCCTTCCCAGCTGGTTATCACCTCAATGCACTGCCTTCATTATCAGTTAATCAGAGCATTATACAGCCACACAACCCCCAAAGGGCCTTTAACTTACCTAAAGCTAGAGACTTGAAAGCGAAAATGACTAAAGGACCACACATTCTCAGTTTTCACCCCCCAACTACTTCTAACTCTGGTGACATATGCAATGACCCCTCCCCTTCAGCTGCAAGACACCAAATCTCCCCATTTATAAAAAGGTGTCTGATTTTGTGTGGTGATCTTATTAACTGAATTGTTCAAAAGGCTACTTAGTTTCTTCTAAGAAAGAGACCAAAGTCTGGTTCAGAGGTAAATCTGGAGGAGGGCGCTGTGACATGCTGGCCACATGGCTTGGGGAATCCTTGTCCCTTCTCTAAGGCACTGATCTGCTCTGATTTAGTCTCCTATCCCTGGGGAACACTAGAGAAAATGAGCACAGAGAAGTGACCATGACACAATCATGTGCCATGGTATCAGAGGAGGTGGCAGCTGCTAGATACCATGGGCCACACACACCTGCAGTCCCACCAGGGTGGGGTGGGGGGAGTGGGTAGCCAAACCCCTCAAGCAATGAAAATTCTGAAGTCATGCTGCTTTCAAGAGAAAAAGGTGAATGGAAAGCAAGGAAACTAGTATCAAGCTTTTCCTTTTAAAAAAAAATAAAAAGGAAAAAGGGGGAAAAAAGGAACTGTTTAACTTACTCTCGGCGTGATCTGTTCTGAGGCAGCCTTTCAGAAATATTTTTCAACAGCGTCAAGTGGAAAGGGCTCACAGTTCTACCCAGAAATGGTCACATCCCACTGCAGAGGTGCCTGGTCCCCTTTCCCCAAGGACTCCAGGTCCTTTTGCAGGAGTGTTTAGTTAACGGTGGATGACGGTCTGCACCACATTGGGTCTTTGTGACCATCATGGCTGTATGGAGAAGTGATTTGGTGTCTTATTAGCCACACAATCTTGGATACATGGTTGGTGTGTGAGCCTCAATTTCTTCACCTGCAAAATGGGGCCAATTAGTATTTTCTCCGAGTGTGCACTAACGCATGGAAGAGGCTTAGTGCAGAGCCTGGTACATGGCAAATGCTTCATGGACGTTAGCCATTAGTATACAAACCAACCTCCATCATCCCCCAGGGTATGATAGTGGATTTTCTCTTCTCTACTCACTTGCCAGTCCTATATCACCTGTCACTCAAGGCTCAAAAGAAAACTGGGCTTTTTCCTTTTTTTCTTCTGCCCCCGCCCTCTGGTCTATAGAGACTTTGACCAGAGCATGCTCAAGAAGGATCAGGAGGCAGAAATGATCAGAGGTGCAGATGTTGGCTCTAGGGTGCTAGGAAACAGCTCTAAACAGGTAGGAGGCTCCCAGAATTTTCAAAGGAGAAAGAGTAGCTCAGGCCGTCAGGAGCAATATAGTTCTCTTTAGAGTTTTAGCTCTGTGACCCTAAACTTGTTGCTTTACCTCTCTGGGCTTCAGATCTCATGTCCAGAGAACAAGAGGGTTGAACTAGACGCAGGGATGTCAAGTTTTAGTAAATATAAGAAAACGCTTGTGAAACGTGGTAAAAATATAGCCACCTGAGCCCCAGCCACAGAGAATCTGATTCAGTAAATCAGATGGATTCCAGGAACCAGACTATTTAAGGAACCCCCAGGTGGTCCTGAAGAGCTGGCCCACCATCCAGAATTTGAGCATCAGTGGTCATAACATCCCCGAGTCCCCTGAGAACTCAGCAGCCTGGATGCCAGGGCTTTAAATGCTGCAAAGCCTAGACTTCCCCACACACACTGGAGTGTGGGATCAAGTGACTTCTCTCTGGTCCCATGCTTCAAGTCACTGAGCCCATTGTAATGTCTCCCACTGCTGGTCCCTTTCTGCCTATGCCTTTCTGAGACCTGGCTTGGTTTCCATGTAATAAGAAGTGAGAAGTTCTTTCCCTCTGATGTTCTCAGAGCTTGTTTCTCCTCTTGTGGCAATGAAAACGGTCTGACTCTCCGTGTCATGGTCTCCCAGACCAACTCTGCTCTTCCTGACCTGGCTCCATCCATATTCTTCTCCTTAGAAACCAAACAGGTGAGGTGAGCACTTGTTTTGGGCACAAGCTTTGGGCTTGGATGGACTCCAAAAGGTAGACAACAGGACTGGTGGAGTGGCTCAAGTAGTAGAGTGCCTGCCTTGCAAGTGCGAAGCTCTGAGTTCAAACCCCAGTACTGCCAAATAAAAATACACACAAAAGGTAGATGAGAGACCAAACTGAAAAGGTACATGATGAATGTTTTCTTAATAATTTAGGAAGAGCATCTCATCAAAATGGAGACATGGGTTTCTACTTTCTCTGAGTTACAATGACACCCGAGTTAAAGTAGCATGAACAATAGTCTCTTTGGAATCTTGAGGAAGGTTCCAAGCTCTAAATTTTCCATGAAGGGCTTTTCACCAGAAGGGCAAAAGCAGATCTGAGGGAAGATGGTGCTTGGCAAACAGAAGTGCAGGTAGGGGGACTTATGGTTGGTGCTAGACTTTGAGGTGCCTGGACAACATCAGATATCCAGAGCTGTTTGCTTTCTCCATAGGAGAGAAAGGTTGAGATTCTTTCTGGAAAGGTGGGAAAATATCCATGCCCCCTATAGGATCCTTCTCAAGGGTGCCATTTGTTTTCCTTCCTCCTTTATTTTTATTTTGGGGAGCAGGGCTGGGCTGCCTGCAGAGCCGAGGAGCCTCAAGGCTCCTGCTGGGCCCTCCCCACTGTGACACCATTCTTACCTCCTCCCTTACCCTTTCTCTCTGGCCTCAGACCAACTGACTCAGGAGCAGGATGGACTCCACCAAACAAGGACCTCTTTATTTGGCCCCTGGAATCAGGCCAGGGAAGGACAGGAAATAACAGGAATAGAAGATAGTAGTATTGCTACTCTATGAGCCTTGTGGGAAATATAAGAGAGTCTTCACTGTCCATCATTACAATCAAGACCAACTCCACCCACCCAGGAAAGGCCTGGTCAGGGTCTCAAGAAGTGGCCTGGCTATTCAGGCATGGGCATCCCAGTGTCAGGGGCAGGGGGGTGGTGAAGAAAGGGGGAACAGGAAGTGCTGGGCAGCCAACTAGTGTCTGGGCTTAGTGAGTTGTTTAGAAAACACTGGAACCTTGCCTTGCTCCAAATCTTCCTTCCGTCTTAAAATGCTGAAAGGCACCAGGAAGCCATTATTGAACTAACTGCATTCCCCTCCAAATAAATGAAGGTCAATTTCAAAGAAACATTCATGCTGTCTATAGTTCTGAACCAAAGAGGAATCTCTCTGGCCCTCTCCCTCAAGTGAGGAATTTACACACACTCCACAAGCACAAGGGAAAGAGAGGGTCTCAGAGATGACCCCCACAAACACCCATGCCAATCCTCCAGCTCTGAAGTTTCAGGTATTTGAGGTATCCCCAAGGGAAGCAATTGGTTTGAGTACTTGGTGAGGAGAAAATATTTTTTGTACACAGGGAATCCATTCTGACAGAGAGAAATCTTCTTGAGGTAAAATTTGACCATTTATTAAATACTTTACAAAGATTTCCTAAGGCACCTACTACGTGTCAGGCTGTGGACTAGGTACTGGGTTGCAAACACGGCCTCTGCTAGACATTCTGCTTGGCCCCCTATAGATATGACCTCCTTAATCCTCACAGAGCTTGCCTGTGAGGGAGCAAGTAACTGCTCCCTCTTTACAGATGAATAAACTGAAGCTTAGGCAAGACTAGATTCTTGCCTAAGGTCACCCAGCAAGGAAGTGAGAGGGCCAAGAGTTGAGTCCAGGTCTGCCAGAACAAGCCATACTTGTTCCACTGGACCAAGAGATGTCTTGGCCTTTTCTGCTCTCTGATAGCAACTTGCTCTTACTTCACATGTACTCCAAGAAACCCAGAGACACCCTGCCAAAAACTAGTTGTGATGCTTCAATTGCAAAATGCTACCCAGTCCCCATGAAATGTCAGTTTGGGCCGTACACGTTGAAGCTCAAGGCTAGACTCTCCACTCCTCCTTACTCATTCAACCCCTTAGAGAAAAGCAGAGGGAACTTGCCCTCTTCCAGGGATGTGTGTCCACAAGTTTAATCACACATTCTTTCACTGAGTAAATATGGATTTATTGAGTGGCTACTCTGTGCATTTTACCAGAGAAACAATAGTGAACAAAACAGCTAAATTCCATACAATTTACTTCTACTAAGGAACAGATCTTTTGAAAAACACCAAAATAAACATGAACTGCAAATTGTGGTAGGTGACTTGAAGAAAAGGGGCTATTAAAATTGCACAACTATAATTGGTATATCACGAGACCCTGAGCAGTTTGGAGGCACTCATTTGGTGAGTGGGGCTGGTAGAAAAGGGGTCCATGCAGAAGGAAGGTGGCACCTAGAAGTCCTGCAGCAGGAGATGGTGAGGACCTAACAGAGAAAGGCAGTGCAGGTGGAGGCT